AATTCAGTGGTATCAGACAATTTAGCTAAGAAAGCCTCTATGAGTACTGAAAGAGATTCAAAAAGCTACGATCAACTTGTCCACACATCAGATCAGTGACCAACTACTTATTTAGTATTTCTATGAAGGCCTTGCTCCAATAGAAAGGAGTATGCTTGATGCAGCAAACAGTGGAGCTCTCATATACAAGACATCATTTGCAGCTAGAGCACTAATTAACAACATGGTAGAGAACTCCCAACAGTTTAATACAAGAGTCATGGCACCAGTGAGAGAAGTAGACAATGTGCATCAACCAAGCTTCTTTCCATGAGAGCAGAATTAAGGAGCTCACTACATTTGTGAGACAGCTAGCTTTGCACCATAAACTGCTCTGCAAGGAGGGATGATCAGAGATTGTCATATTTATTCCTCCATAGAACACACTTCAAATTGTTGTCCTTTGCTGCAAGATGGTAGCCAATAAGCTTTTGTCCATGGAGTTTTTAGTGGAAGACAAGAATAATACAAAGATTTGAATTTCTAGCAATCTTAGAGACAACAACAACCATACTGGTTCCAGTACCAATCTCATAATCTTAACTTTAATGACCATCCAAATATGAGATATGGTGCCTCTAAGCAATAACAATAACAGACTAGCCAAGCAAGTAACAGCTACAGACCACTCCCTAATGAGGCAGCAACAAACACATCAAAATTCTGAGCTTTTGTTGGAGGATTTGGTCAAACAAATGGCTAAAAGCAATTTGCAGTTCCAACAAAATGTAAATGATTCCATCCAAGATATGCAGACACAAATTGGCCAGCTTGCCACCACTGTAAACCAATTCAAGTCTCAAGGTTTCGGATAACTTCCTTTTGAACTAGAGATTAACCCTAGAAATGTGAGTTTCATAGTATTGAGGAATGAGAATGAGCTACCAAACAATCGAAAAAATAATGAGGTGCAAAATAATGAAGAGGCAGAGAAACAGCAAAACACAGAGCAGCAAACTATCCTTAACAGTTTAGAAATTGTGCAGAAATCACCTCTCCCATTTCCAAACAGAGTGATCAAGCCAAAGCCACCAACAAACTATGATAAGGAGCTTTTTGAGACATTCAAAAGGGTTGAAGTGAACATTCCACTACTAAATGCAATAAATGAAATTTCAAAATATGCAAAGTTTCTTAAAGAATTATGCACTAACAAGAGGAGACTAAAATGGGACAAAAAAGTCAGCATAAGGAGAAATCTGTCAGCTCTCATATAGCGCAATCTACTGTAGAAGTGCATGGATCCTGACATTTTTACTGTCCTTTGTACTATTGGAAATTGCACCTTCGACAATGCATTACTTGATCTTGGTGTTTCCATAAATATGATGCCTACATCTTTGATTGATGTGCACTCAGGAATTCTATCCATGGAGTTTGGAGACGATGTTATGTAGTTCAACATTTTTGAGGCCATGAAGCATCCATTAGAGCTGCATAATGCATTTCATATAGATATTATTGTTGTTTTAATTGAAGAGTTTTGTACTGATTTTTTGATATTTCTAGTTGTACATGGACTGTAGGAGATTTGTGTAAAGTTTGTGCTGAAATAAATGCATATTAACAACTGATGATGTTTCATGTGATGCAGCAGCAAGTTTAGGAAGCTCTAGCTTGATTATAGCAAGTACATATACCCCTGAACCTGCCCAGATACATGCTGCAAAATGAGAATCATCCACTAGGACAATTCCTTATATTGTGCAGCCAAAATGCATGTACTATTTTTGCTTTGAGCACAAGTTCCTTAAGAATGTCTTAGAAAATATTTTCCCTATTATATTTATTTATTTATTTCTAGGAGTATTGCAGTAAAAAAAGAAGATAAGAAAATAATTAAAAAAATGCTTAAAGACGAAAGGTTAAAAAATCATTATAGTTATTGAGTGACTTTGAATCTTTCTTTCAAAATGGAAATTAGAGTTAGATCTTCATAAAATGAAGCACACCAAAATACATTTCTACTTAATTCAAAGTACTGAAGTACATCACAGTCTGATCTAAAATGTAGTTATCTTTCTCTTGTCCTTACATAACTACCCATATCTCAAGTCATTACATCAACATTTCCTAGTCTTAGCTATGATTTCTTTAATCTCTTAGATCAACCAATTGCAATGGCTCAAAAAGTCTTTAATTTCTTGTGGTATTTTATAAAAAAATATAATCACCTCAATATCTATTAACATGTATAAAGTATTGTCAATTGCTGCATTAGTCAATGATGCTAATTATATAAAACGTTTGATTTAATACTCAATGAACTTGTCCTTTTTTTTTTTCATGACGATCCTTTTCCTTTACAATAACTTCATACTCTTTCATTATTTTAATTACTTCTCATTTCTTAGCATTGATTTCGGCATCACACCTAAATTATTTATTTTATCTATTGCTCCATATTTTGCATTTGTGGCTGAAGTTCATATGCTTGGATCAAAGTTTGGTGAAGAACTCCCTTAACTTTGTATAATGAACCCTTCAATTTAAGCTTTTTATTTATGATTGTATTTTGCTCCTTCACCCTCAATTTTAACTCCTTGCTAGCAACTTCAAGACATCATTGAACCTTAATGACATGACTTAACACATTTTTATTTTTTACAAATTTCTTCATTAACATGTTGTTTTCACTATTCTTTTCTCTTCAAAATTGCACAAGCACAATGACTCTTCCATTTTTTTTCACCTGTTTTTACATTCTTGGGTTCCTTCCTCATGTTGATTTTTTTCTCTTTTTTCTTGATGCTTTGGTTCGATCTCAAGCCCCTCCTTGTAGTGTTGAACTTCCCTTAATTTGCCAAGGCCAATCTTTGCTTTTGAAAAAAATTCCTTTGTTCTTTTGCAAAGTTAAATTCAATTGTTTTTTAATATAAAAAAAATACTAAAATTTCCAGAAAAAAATTGGATATTCACGTTTATGTTAAAAAAAAAAAAAGGCCAGAGGATAACTAAGTTTCCAATTAGGGATAGTTACCATAGCGTCATAAATTAAATTACCAGTGGCATGCATTCACACATCCATCGAAAATTCGTTAGTTTGATAATTACCCATCGACCAAAATAAACCATCTTTAACAAAAGACCAGGCCTTACAAATACCTTTCCGGGTAAGGAAGTCAGAAGATTAAGGAGTAGAACAGTAAATCACACATTAAAACATTGATAATTGGATTGACAAAATCTTCCACCAGAAAAGATCAATTATTCAAATGGCACCTTCTTCTTTCATTATTAGAACCCTAATTAGAGTTCTTACATAACTTTTCGATCTCATCATATATTGTCAAAGGAATTAACATGGTCTGCATGTCATAGCAAACACGAAAAATTGAATAAAATCGACTGGGCGCAAGACTGATTCTACAGCAACAGATAAATGCCTCCTAGTTGACAAGTTTGCTTTTGACTTCATCTGTCAAGAAAAAGAAATCTTCCCCTTATTACTCTAGAATATTCATAAGAGCAACATCATGGTATCGCCCCAAAACATAAGAAATGAGGACCTTAATGTTGTTGCTTTTGTCCATGGCAAGAGCTTAACTAACGTTCTTTGGGAAGAACACACTCTTGATTTACTCTATGTTTACTTTTTATAAGAGGTGGTGTAAAAAGCATATAAATTTCAAAAATAAGATCAGGTTGCTCAACAGATGCTTCTAAAGTTATAATGACGTCTTTGACGGTTTGAAAAACAGAATATGAGAAATCTTAAGACCTTTTCTTTCCAAATCCAAAGCATTGATCAACATCAACCTCATCATTTATAGCAAGAATAATATGCTCCTTACATAATTACACTGCACAAAGAGATAGGGGATTAAATATCGTTTATATGTAAAATAAAATGTGATCGATTGTAGTTAGACAACAAAAAAGAGGATTCTGCGTGGTACAAAAATCTCTGGTAGTTTATGTCGAATAAATTCATACTAATGAGCACTAATGAACATGAATTTGTGTAGCATGTGTAAATGTCGAGAAACATTATTAATTGGAGTTTAAAGGAGAAAGTGAGCTCCCCGTTGTTTAGTGAAAGAGACGAATAAAGCGGGGAAAATAAAAGACAATCTTATCTAAATTCTTTTGAAAATTGAAATAAATGCACTTGTTAGTCTTTTGAATGCCTTAAGAAAAATTCAACAGTTTTCATTCAGCTAAACTTCATCAAGCAACCTCTCCCTTCATTTCAGCTAAGTCTTTTTAAGGTACATACTCGAGCGAATGACCACACTTACCAAACAGCTATATTCAAGACTCAATTCTATTAACCAATATGTTTCAGAGACACTGCATGTTTTCCCTTAAAAAAGAGGTAAAAAAACATAAAGGTGTGTGTAAGCAGTAATCACTTAATTTTTGCGGTAAGAAAATCATTTGCGAAAATATTTGGACCAAATTGTAGATTATGAAATTTAAAGAACAGTTACGACGAAATGTTTTTTGAAGGAATCCTTGAAGGAAAGAATGAAGCATATTCTAGTGAGAGAGAATAATTTTCTTTACCCCACAAAAGATATGAAGGGAATATGCTCATTAGTGATCAAGTTGATAGATTGTTTATAGAGAGACTACAATACAATGCCAAATGCGCAAATCCCTAGGTTTCAGCGTAAGCGCATGTTATTGAATCCAACCAACCATTGTTTTCATCTTCTTTTAAGTTCCAAATTAAACCACAAAATCTCTCTATGAAAGAGAACGTGTACACCACCCCAAAAAAGAGAGAGGGAAATGTGAAATAAATTAGTGGATCCCTTAATTGAAGGCCATAACAGGAGGCACATGGCCTGGCTCCACCTTATCCTTTGTTCATTGATCTTAATTTGATAGACAAGGGTGCTTTGCGCACAATGTAAAGGAATCTTGCACAGCATTCAAGTCGAAGCGTACACGGCAAATATGTGGACCGTTACGTACAATATGAAAATTGGCGGGGACAATACCCAGTCACGATAACAGGAAACACGACGTTATTATTCGGCATGTGCAAACACGCTGGCAATAGACAGAATCACACTTTTTTTTTTCTTGGAAACAAAACCGGGATCATATAAACATTTTCTATATTATTTCTTGTCCCCTAACGAATTTCCAACTATTTTCTCATTCATATATAATACACATGTAACAAAATTACAAAAAAACGAGATGGCAAAGACACGTAATAATAACTACTAATAATAATACTCATTCCTATATTAGACTCGATCTTGCTCGAGTCAATCTGCTTCATGGCGACGCCAATGAACACGAAAATGAGTTTAGCTTCTGTTCTTGCACTTTTCCACTGCCCTTGGCGCTGTAAATTATGAATTAACAACATGTAAGATAAGATGGATATTTTATATGGTTTTAAACTTAGTTACGAGTGATGAGTATGATGATGACTAACCAAGGCCAATTGCCTCAGAACCTTTCATTATGCGGAGGCGCTTGCAGGATTCAACGAACATTCTGCGAAATTGGCATAATAATTAATTAGTGAGCATTAAATAGGAAATGATGAATTATGAATTAATTAAGGGGCACTCACTCCCAGGGCACGTCACCCACGAGCATCCAGTCTCCGTCCTTGTCTTCATATGTGGGTACATAATCAGAGCCATTCAAAAGGTCTATCAATTTGGTCTCATTCATAAAGTCCTTCGTGCCTTGGGACCCACACTTGCCAATGGTGAAAGAGCTGAACATTTTAGCCAGCGCATCTGACAGCTCATGGTAGCTCTTGTACATCTTCAGATCCACCTTTCGTAGAAACGGTGCTCCATCCATGCTCACCTTCACGAAAGCCCCTCCTCCTGCACCACTCTTCTCTGCTTCATCGTTGTTGCTCCTTTGAACGTTCACGATGTTTTTTCTGAAGGATCGAACTGGTGGCCAACCCACAACTTGTGCCCTGCATATTCAACATTAATTACATCAATAATCCATCATCTTAGTTATTCTTTTTAAGCCATTGAATGTGATTAAAATATTTTTTTATTATTAAAACGTATATTACAGAAATTAATTACGTGTGCTAACCAAATAAGTATTTCAATTATTAGAGAGAGAGAGAGAGAGAGAGAGAGAGAGAGCAGTTAATAGAAATGTGCACTGTGTAATGGGGTGACAAAGACCAGGGTGTGGACTATTATCCTTTTTCCTTTTTCTGCTTTGCTGGATTTCACTCTTTCAAATGGTTGAATGAACGGAAAAAGTAAGATTCCATGTGTCTTGTCCTTTTCCTCTGTCTACCCGACAACCAACCGTGCCATTCGCTAAAGAAATTCAACAAAACTTGCTTCCCATCCTATCCCGCCATCCATATCCTTCAACACTTTTTTTTTTTTTTTCTCTGCTCATAATCAGGATGACAACTTTTCTTTTTACCCTCCAATAGTCCAATACCTAATTACATACCCACTACTCCACGTTTTACTTTTTAATTACTTAACCGAGTCAAAAGGCAAAATCATCAGCATCTATCAAAGTTATATCTGTCTTCTCAATTGATTATCAACTTCGTAATTTATTAGAGTCTATAACTTTATTTTTTGTTGTAGAAATCAAATAAAATTACTTTTTAAAAAATATCTTTATAAGTGGAAATTTATTTTAAGCTACTCAATGACAATAGACACATTCACACAGTTATTCAATGGCATATTCCATATCATTTCCGCCCCCAAAGAATTAAAATCAATCTACCACAAATTACCTGGCAAAACTATTACAAACCATTTTTTCAAAAAATGTTCAAAGTAATCATACTTTATAACATGCAAAAAATTTACAATTTCAAATTCAATTCTTTTCTACAATCAAATGTTTAATATTTATTTCCTTACAATCAAATTCAAACAGTACATTTAAAATACCAAGTCGAGAGAGTAAATTCAGCCAGAGATTAAGGAATAAAAAAACGAAATTAGTTAATTACTCAACCGTGACCTTCTTCAACCACAAATAAACATTCATGTAACTTGGAACTGTGCCTTTCTATTATCTTTTTCAACTGAAAGTTAACTAAATTTTATTTTAGGTGGTCCTCAAATCTTTACGCTCTCCAAACAAGGTAATTAAAGATGAACTCCTCATTCTCAAAAGTCGTTTTCTGTGCATATTACCCAGATCGAACAAAACCTTCTAATCTAAGTGTGTATTTGAAAACTAATTAAAATCACAATAGATAACGTTTTAAAAATAAAATTACAAATTGTCAGTTAAAATAGATACAAAAATGATTTTAACACAATAAAACGATTTAGTTTTTTCATTGTTTCTATTACCCTTTCTCTGTCCTAGACAAAATCTAAATTGTAAACCTCACGAGCAACAGACCAATGAACAAAGCAGAAAATAAGTTTTTCCTGAATGTAAAAGTTAAGACTAAAAAGGAAATATAAAGAAGCAAGTTTTGTAAGGAATAAAAATCGAGGTAAAGAATTAGGAGAAGAAGAACTGACTTTGCAGGTGGTTTTGTTGGGTCATTAACACGAGGAGGAGATGCAGCAGTAGTCTTCTCTTTGGGTTTTTCTGTAGGGATGGTTGAGGGTGAAACTGAGGAAGAAGGCAAGTCGTTATTGGAGGAAAGGTTAAGCTGCAAATCAACAGAAGCAGTCTCTGAGAACCCTCTCTTGGCAGCACCGCTTTTCAGAGTTAACTCGGCATGATCGTTTGCAGAGGCGCCAGGTAGGCCGAGTCGCAACTCGGTCTCTTCAAAATTTATCATTTCTCTCTCTGCACCCAACACGCTCGTCATTCTCCACGCATCAACCAGCGAGTCACAAACAACAGAAAATCTTTGTCTTAGGTGGAGTTGAGGGAAAGTAAAGTTTTGGGTGAAAGCGAAACTGAGAACTGAGGAATGTGGAAATGGAAAGAAGTTTCAGGGTAGGGAATGGTTTTGGTCATATATTGATGCAGTGTTGTGGGGGAACCGCACGGTGAAGATGTTGCCACGTGTTGATGTTTGCTGTGTTGGATCATCCACGGGTTGTCGGGAGAATGACGTCACGGGTGATGTCATGAAAAGAATGATTGTGGTGTGGGTAGTGGACATCCCAGCTTGGCCTGTGCCCTTCCTTGCCTGCCTTTTATTTGTTTGCTAGGCTCCACACACCAATTAACAATTATACTCCTCCCCTTTTTACCTTTTTTCTTTTATCTCCATTTCTTTTTCCTAGTTTATGCATTCTTTAGCTAAAATGAAATAATTAATTTGTAGATTATAATAATAAATTAAAGAGAGAGAGAGATGCATAAAAAACATAAGGAAACGCGGCTGAGTTTGAAGCCAGAAGTGCTTTGTTGAGATGGTCGAAGTTAAGGGAAAAAAAAGTTAATAATCCCGTGATTTTTAATTGATAATTTAAATTTTTATATATTTTTAATAAACATTTGAAATTTAATTCAATGCTTCAGCATTCCTTTTTTAATTTAATTATGATATTTTTCTTTTCTATTAATCAAGTCCATCAAAGAACCAAGGCGATATAGGAGATATAAGGTAGAGAGATAATGATCCAAATACTGATTATTACTATGTCAACCATCGCTTATCAAGAGCGGGACCGGCGCTTCAACTCGACTGGTAAAATGCAACATTCAAGTTTCAAATTTTGACCTATAATTAAATTTAAATATTTTTAATTTGATTTGATTAAATTCGATACAAGTTAAGTTTGTAATAATTCGTAAAATTCTATAAAAGTCCAAATTATATTTGATTTTTTTCTATTGGACCCGCTTAACTTTACTCTCCATCACAAGTCAGGTCAATTAAATTGAATAATTCGTTTTATTGTTTCTATCCTTGCTTCATGTAAAAGAGTTTATTGTTTAAATTTTATCAGAATACACTAATTAATATAAAAATATATATATATATATATTATTTAATTATAAATTTATATAATAATAATAAAAGTTATTAACTTCATTAGAATTAACTTAAAATTATATTTATTATTTATTTATACGAATTAATAATACTAAAATATTTAAACCAACCATATTTTAAAATCAAATTCCTAACATTCTTATTATTAAAATTGTTCGGTGATGATTTTGTTAAGATGTCTATATTGAGTAGAGTAGAAATATACTCAAAACACTCCTTACAAAACTTTGGTAACCCTTATCATTTAAGTTAACTATCGTATGTGAGTTCGGTCCAATTTTATGAGCTACTTCTAATAATTTATGTATATTAATGGATAATGTTAAGAATAATTTAGGTCCAATATTATTTTTTTAGAATAATTTTGTTTTTATTATTTTTAGAAAGTTATTTTAAAATTTATAACTAATAAAACATAAAAATTATATATTGCTAAGCGTTCTTGTCATACTCATTGCTATTTGATCGAGAGAGGAAGTTCGTTGCTTCCGTCAAACATTGCCTCGATTGCTTCATAGAATATCTCACGCACAAGAGACTAAGAAGTATCTTTAACTATTCCACCTTCTTATCTTTCTATTTATCTAGTTAAAAAACTAATATAAATATTTCTAAAAATAATTAATATTTTATTTTATATTAAAAAATTTAAACTTATTACTATTACTTCATCTATAATAAATATAAAGTTATATGTTGAATTTAATAAAAATATGAGCATAATTAATAATTAATTAACATTATCTTTGTTATTTAACATTAAATAAATAAATAAAAATATTGAAGTTCCATTTATTTTAAACATGGCCAGATAGGACATAGAGATTTTTTAATCAAATGGATTTAACTTAACATAAATCACAGGATTATATGTTAATTATATTTATAAAAGTAGATGTCTATAAATTATTATATAATTTTTTCTGATACTTTTATTTTCTAAATTTCGTGTTATCATTTTAATATTTTTTAAGTATTAATTAAGATAGCGTATTTTTTTTTTTTAATGTATTGTTTGTCGTTATTATGTAACTTTTATCTTCTTTTATTAAGAATAATTTTGACAAAAAAAGATAAAAGATACAAAATATAAGATAAAATTGACGAGTTTATACTTGCTAAATAAGCAACAATTTATATGCCTACTATTGAATTTATGTATGAACACATATTTGTATGTTTGAAAATCTCAAATTATTTTAACTAGTGATTTATGATAAAACTGAGTTATGATTTATGATTCGATATTTAATATTCTTTAGAAGTTTTCAATCGTGATTTTTTTTTTATGTATTTGGTTTTTCATTTAACATGCATTATCCTTAAAAAAAAAGGTAAAAAAACTAAGCAGTTAAGTCAATGCAAGTTATAAAAGATCGGATTAAAAAAAATCAGATTTGATATTATGCTGTTTAGGATAAAGAAAATTTTCTAAGTTAAAAATCATCTTGAAGGAAACTACATTTCAACAAATTTTGAGGGTCAAGAAGGAGCCAAAGATAAGCCTGAACATAAGAGAATATTGGAAGATCTTTGGTTTTAATTAAATGCGGGAATGTAAAGGTGCTGGAATGTAAATATGCTGAAATGTAAATGTACGACTCCTCACAACGGCGAACAGCGGCCACCATGGGTCTCCTTGTAGCTGGTGTCTGGCGTGGTGCAGGGTTTAAGCGTATCAGAGAGTTTAGGTGCGGTGTCTGGGTGCAAAAAGTCATCCTTTGTGAAATGGTGCTTTGGAGTATTTATAGACATGAAGATCATCACCGTTTTCCTCCTTTTGCGGGCACTTCTTAGTAACTGCCTTCAACTGTTGATGTTCACTATCCACGATTGCTTGTGATCGTGCTGTTCGTTGGGGCTTCTTTCGTAACCGCTATCGCCCATGATCTCCTTTGCGTAGTGGTGAATATTGATAACTACTGGTAACCGCTTTTGGATTTTCCAAGACTCTTATCTTTCGAGTATTTCTGAGAGAAATCTAGGAGACTCCTTAAATGTTATGGCCTTAGAATAGTTTCTTTTTTACTTCTCTTTTCGAGCCATTCTTGAGTTTTGAGAGCCTGTCTTGGTCTTGTGGACTTGGAACATTTTCTTTGCTCATTTCTGTTTTTCGAGCAATTCTGGAGGGACTCTGGAGCTCGACCAGGTTTGTGGACTTAGAATATTTTCTGACCACTTCTTATTTTTCGAGCAATTCTGGAGGGACTCTGGAGCTCGACCAGGTTTGTGGACCTTGAATATTTTCTGACCACTTCTTATTTTTCGAGCAATTCTGGAGGAAATCTGGAGCTCAGCTAGGTTTGTGGACTTAGAATATTTTCTGACCACTTCTTGTTTTTCAAGCAGTTTTGGGTGTCGGGGACTTGAAAACTCTCAAAAAACTTCTCGAAAAGCCATCAGTTTTTGTGGACTTAGAATATTTTCTTGTCAGTCCTGTTTTTTGAGCAATTTTAGATGTCAGTGACTTGGAAACCTCTCAAAACTCCTCGAAAAAGCCATCAGTTTTGTGGACTTAGAATATTTTCTTGTCAGTCTTATTTTTCGAGCAGTTTTAGAGAAAAATCAACAAGGTGACAAAAACCTCTAAAATAGCTTGAAATGTATCTTTTTTGATATGAAACTAAAAAGTCTTGGACAACTTTCCGATACTTCTTAAGTTTAGACCTATTTTTAGGCTCCTTCCTGACCCTTAAAATTTTGTCGAAATGTAGCTTCCTTCAACATGATTTTTAACTTAAAAAATTTTCCTTATCCCAAACATTATGAAAAATATTAGACATTCAGTTTTATTTTTACTTAAATAAATCTTGACTTTTTGATATTTGTAGGCAAAAGATTAATAAATATTACCAAACTAGTATAATTTTGAAATAATTTATCATATAGTAAAAATTTTGTAAAATTTCTCTTGAAAAGATGTTACCAGGCTCGATAGTAAAGTTTGATAATGAACAAAAAGTCTAACTAATATACATCACTGTATAAAAAGGTGAACATATCAGTTGCAAGTGAATTATTCCTATTGGATAAGGTGTCACTCATGGAGTGTTGTCATATGTTAGCTACACTAGTATAAAGAGAGAGAGAACCATTATTAAAAGTATGTTTTTTAAATATTTTTAATTATTATTTGATTGGATAGTTATTTTATATTTTAAATAATTTAATTATATTTTTAATTCTAATATTTACTAACTAAATTATAATTATTTTTTTTTAATTTAATTCAAAAAATAAAACTATTACAACTAATAAAAAAAGTGAATCAATCAAATTATTAGTTTTTAAATATAAAATGACTATGAAATCAAATAATAATTAAAAACATTTAAAAAAACATATCTTTATGTTGCTAATTCCCTATCTTTATGATTATAGCTGACACGTGGTGACACTCCATGAGTGGCACCTGTCTAACAAGAACAATTCACCTGTAGTTAACTTGCTTTGCTAGATGTTACAACCGTGTTTAGTGGCGCCTTTTCAAGAGGAGTTTTACAAAATTTTTACTATACATTTTGCTTACTTTAGTGAATTGTTTAAAAAGTATAATATTTTGATATTTTTTATTAATCTTTTGCCTACAGTGATCAAAATATCACAAATCTTCTGCTTTCTTTCAGTTCCTCTTACCCTTTCCCCTTTTTGCTCTCCTTCCCCTCACCCCAATTTGTAACACCTTAAATTTTACTTCAAAATAATAAATTTCACAAAATGGGAATAATAAATTTTTTTTAAATATAATTTCCTAACACAGGGTTTCATAAAAGTATTTCAAAATAATAAGGGATTACAAGTTTATATCAATATCTGCCACAAGACCTATTCAATTACATCAAAATTTCAAAATAAAATCTAAGTCCTATAGCAATTTCATTCATCTCTTCACTGAGCTCAGTACTGATCGTCTTAGTTACCTGAAAAATAAATGTAAGGGTGAATACTTTACACTATCCAACACACATAAATATAGAGA